TGGGGCAAAAATCCGTGATGTGACAGTGAGGCTGACAAGACTTGTCAATCCTACTGACCATTGTGCCTTCCTCTTAATCCATGGGGGAATCAATGATACTGCAAGGCATAGTCTTCAGAATATCAGAAGGGATTATGAGGCTTTGGGTAGGAAGCTGAAAGAGCTGGATGCACAAGTTTTTATCTCATCTCTTCTCCCAGTTGAAGGGCATGGTCCAGGAAGGGAGAGGAAGATAGCAGATGTGAATAACTGGAAGATAGCAGATGTGAATAACATGGTCCAAGAAGGGAGAGGAAGGTAGCAGATGTGAATAACGATTTGGATTCTTGGATCATGGGCTGCGGTTCCATGAGGGTGGACTTCTAGCAAGAGATGAGCTGCATCTCACACCAGTTGGCAGAAGCATTTTTGCCAATAGTCTCAAACATTTGATCAGGAGGGCTTTAAACTGAGTCATATTGGGGAAGGAGACGGTATCTTGGAAGGCAGGAGTACATCATGGGCTGCAGATAATAGCCAAAGTGTTATAGAGGGAACAAGGCAAATGATGCAAGGGCCCAACAGTGGGAGGCAAAAAACCTCACACAGGCAGCACGTGGGGATGCCCCATGCTCTTAGCTGTCTGTACACTAATGCACAGAGCATGGGAAATAAACAAGATGAACTTGAACTCTTAGCACAACAAAGCAAATACGATATAATAGGCATCACTGGAACCTGGTGGGATGAGTCTCATGATTGGAATGTAGGAATAGAGGGGTATAACATTTTAAAGAGAAATAGGCCAAACAGGAAAGGAGGAGGAATAGCATTATATTTCAGGGATGTTTACACCTGTGAAGAGATTCAGGACTTAAATCCTGGAAATCAGGTGGAGAATATCTGGATAAAAATTAAAGGGGAAGGAAACAACAGGGATGTTATAGCGGGAGTCTACTACAGACCCCCAAGTCAGATTGAGGAATTGGATGCTGGCTTTCTAGAATAGATGACTACACACTCAGAAAAGAGAGATGTAGTAGTGATGGGTGACTTCAACTATCCTGATATTTGCTGGAAGTCAAACTCAACCAATACTTCAAGGTCTAGCACAGGGGTAGGCAACCTTTCCCCTTTAAGGGCCAAGGGACTTCAGCTACCAGAATCCCAGGAGCTATTGGCCAACAAGGGACTATTGGCCAACATGGCTGAGGCTTCTGGGAGCTGAAGTCCCTCGGCCCTTAAAGGGGAAAGGTTGCCTACCCCTGGTCTAGCACATGCCTCGAGGATAATTTCTTTGTCCAAAAGGTGGAAGAGGCAACAAGGGGATCAGCTATTTTAGATCTGATCCTAACCAACAGGGATGACCTGGCAAATGGGGTGCAAATTGTGGGATCCTTAGGTGGGGGTGATCATGTTATCCTGGAGTTTCTTATACAGTGGAAAGGAGAAGCTAGGCATAGTCAAACACCCATTCTAGACTTTAGGAGAGCTGATTTCAACAATCTTAGGGAAACACTGGGAGTCATCCTGTGGTCAGGAATACTAAAGGAGAAGGGAGATCAGGAAGGATGGGAGTTTCTCAAAAGGGAGATACTGAAGGCACAATCTCAAACTGTTCCAATGAGAAGGAAAAAATGGGAAATGTCTCAAGAAACCGGGTTGGATGACAAAAGAATTTTCAACCGAACTAAGGGCCTTTGCAGACTGCTAGAAATAGTACAAATTGAGTCCAC